TTCAGGTAAATTTACAATTTTTTCAATAACTTTATTTTCTTTTTTGACAATTTGGTATAAAGAAATTTTTTTTGTATATTTGAATTTAGTGAAAATTGAGTATACTATTTTGAATAGAACAGTAATTGATTTGTTAAGAGAGTAAATACGGTCAAGTAAAAATTAAGATTGTTTTCTAGCTGATTTTATAAGATGGTAGATATTTTGTTTAAGAGCTGGTCGATTATTTTGAGAATGAGAAGGAATAAATCTTTTGAATAAGGTTGGAAATTTAAAAAAACACATTGTATCATCGGTGACATATTGGCCTTTGTTTATTTCTCTATTAATAGAGGGAATAGGTTCAGAAGATTTGTAGATAGTACTCGTAAATAATACGGAAAACCCGACAACGAGACCAGGGAACAACAAGAAAGATAGAATCGGAATCATATTCAAAATTAATATCGAAGATACAAAAATCAAAATAGCAATAATCAAAGAAGTCAAAAAAATTAAAGTCAGGAAAATTGTATAAAAAATTTTCAGCAAAAGAAAATATGCAATTTTTAGCAATAGCGCTAAGAACTTTTTACTTGACATTTTGTAATTGTAATTTTTAGTCAATTCTGAAAACTAGATTTTACAAGATTCTTTTAATACATTTTTTCGTAATGAACTTGTTCAAATAAGAAAATAATTAAAACAATTTTGTTTTAATTTATGCCATCTTTGCTGCGGTTATTCGTATTACCTATTTTGCAAAGCATTAAATGAAACTCCGAGATAAGTATGATTAATAATATTTTTCGTGTATATAATACGTGTATTTTTTAATTAAAATTTTTTCAGCATACAAATATGTGAAAAAAATATAAATACTATGCAATACTATTCCAAGAAAGTTTAAGCATAAGAATAAGCAAATAAGGAAATGATTAATTCAATTTTGTTTTAATTTATGCTCTTCGCCGCGGTTATTCGTATTACCTATTTTACAAAACATTAAAAAGAAACTCCGTATTGGTATGTACAGTATTATATAATGCTGATCTGTTACAATTATACGCGTTAAAACATATCAGATATAATTCTTTCCAATTCTTTGCACGCTATTGCAAAAGGCTTTGTTTGATGATTGATTCAAATAAGGATAAATAATCATATTTGACCTAAATTATAAAATTTATGTTGTCTTCACCGCGGTTATTCGTATTACTTTATTTTTACAAAGCATCAAATGAAACTCCGAGTTATGTATGATAATGCATTTTATGATAGCATACTGATATAAACCAAGTTTATTCGTTCGCTATTTCAAAAAACTTTGATAACTTATTCAAATAAGGAGGAGATAATTAATTCATATTTGACTTAATTTATAAAATAAAACTCAAAGAATTATAATATCGATTTATAATATAAATGCTGATCTGTTACTCAATTGTACATTCCATTTTAAAATATATAAAGCATATGATGTAATTTTTTGTCTTTAAAAAATATTGAAAATGACCGTTCATAAGAAATTAGATTCTTTAATATCTTTTTTGTCATATATTAAATATGCAAGAAAAACTCTCGTGAATTTGTGTACTTGCCGAAACATTCTTATTTTTTTATTAATTCTTGAGGTTATAATATTTTCAATAATCTGGTCGTATGTATATTTTGGCTTTCTCCCGAAGGGTACAGTACATAGAAGTTCGAACTGATTTTTATCGATTTTATAGGATCTATAAGTCGAAGCATTCATATTTATATACCGATCCTTATAAGCCAATTGTGCATAGAACTTTTGGTGTCGACCAATCTAATTGGAATATAATAACACTACAAATAAAAGATATTTTTGCTAGAATTATGGCTGGATGTCGTGGGTTCGGATATCTAGATTATGATAGTTTAGTGCCATATTAAAAATAAATAGAATAACAATGACATTTAATAATTCTCAATTATAAAAATTTTTAACATTTTGTTCTTATTTTTACCATTATTCATATTAATTATTTCTGATCAAAACTGAGAACTTTCACGTAAATTTAGAATTTTTCTGTAGTTATCTAGTTATCTCTGTAATTGCAGTACTTGTTATAAATTTTTGATAAAAAATTGTTCCGAAGACAACTTCAAATTCTGTTTATTAGAATACAAAATATTATGAGTTCGTGCTATTTTAAAATAATAGAGATACTTTAGGCAAATTTGAGAAAATTATATTTGTTATCAAAAGTTGACTTTCACCTGCAGCGTAACTTTAGATGAGATAAAATGCATATGATTCGGAATCATGAAACCCATCTCTAGTTAAGATAAATTGAAGCTTAATGGATTAAAACGTCCAAGTCTCAATATTTATTTTTATTCTGTTATAAATACTCGTTACGTATTTGATTTAAAAATTTAAAACGATGTTTATCAAATTCTTGACGTCATAGAATACTGTACACCAAATCCACCAATCAGAATTTTTCTGATCATTTTCCAAAATTATCTAGGGGTTCGCCCACATGCAGATTGAATAATATAAAATGATAATGAGTTTATTATAATCATAACGATAACTTACCTTTAATTATGGGCGACCCCAAATCCGACGATATAAAAAAATTAAAAAAAGATTGGAAAACAAAATACATTGAACGGATTCAAAGTCCATCATGTTATAAACAGACTAAACCTTCCTTACCTACTTCTAAAAATCCTAAATTATGGAAAAAATATCGAATAGACCTTTCCGAATATTTGGAGCATTCCATGTGTTTAGAACCTATTTATTCTGAACTATCCCTTATCGATATTTTAATATCGGAAAATCCCGGTTATGATGACAAAGCCATAATCAATGAATATGCAAAAACAGTGGTAGACGGTAAAAATACACCTAAAAACAAGCTTTCTAGGGGAATTGACACGAATCCGTTTACCTACTACAAAAATGTAAGAAAAAAAAGTTGTAATATGAGATTTGCTAGAAATTTGCTTACTGTAACAAAACAGTTAGGAAATTCTAAATACAATTTCTTTGAATAAGTAAGATTTCCTATGTCAATTATTACTGATAAGAATATTACACCAATCATAGATGAATATAAAACTATGATGACTCTTTGATTAATTACTTATATATAAAAAATATTTATAGTAATTATGATTTAGCTTAGTTATTTTAAAAGTAGTTTTCGTTATAATAATTACCATTATAAGATAATTTACTAAGTATGTATAATTATGATTTAGCTTAGTCATTTTTTTGTTATACTAATTACCATTATAAGATATGTATAATTGATTTAGCTTACTAGCCATTTTTTGAAGGTTTTCATTAATAATTACCTTTATAAGAAAATTATAAACTATGTATGTAATAATTATATGACATTTATGAAATAGTACCATTTTAAGCATCATAATTTGGAAATTAATAAATTTAATAAGAAAATTTCACTTATAACAATGTCGAAAAATTTGGTTAGCATTCTCACTAAATTCTTATCAATGTAAAAATTTAGATTGCATTCTAATCGATATAATGTAATTGGTGTTTATAAATTTTCCTTAAAAAATTAAATTGGCATTCCTACATACAAACAACTCCGTGCATTACGTTACAAGTTTTTGACTTGTATGATTCTTCGTAATCAATTTATGTTTGTAGATTTTTTTTTAAAATATTCAGTTGGCATTCTTACACACAAACAACTCCGTGCATTATGTTACAAGTCTTTGATTCTAATCAATATAATGTAATGGTGTTTGTAGATTTTCCTTAAAATATTCATTTGGCATTTCCACACACAAACAACTCCATGTATTATGTTACAAGTCTTTGATTCTAATTACAGCTGGCTTCAAAAAGGTGTGAATAGTCACAGATCATCATGTCATGGGGAATTCACGATATTTCCCAGATTTCCGGAGTTTTCAAGACCCGCTCTAATCAGATGTTTAATATAAATTTTCAAATTCTTCAATTTCCCACGCAGGGATATGGAATTCATTGTTCACACATTTTGAAAACGGCTATAATGTAATGTAATTGGTGTTTGTAGATTTTTCCTTAAAATATTCAGTTAGCATTCCCACACACAAACAACTCCGTGCATTATGTTACAAGTCTTTGATTCTAATTAATGTAATGTAATTGGTGTTTATAAATTTTCCTTAAAAAATTAAG